TTGAGTAAACAGAGTTATCTCAAAATGTTGAAATATTTTCTGGAAAATTTTCTGCAAAACTCTCAACTCAAAAAAATTTCTGGGAACTAGGTTCCCAGGTTCCGATACTTTTTCCACCCCTGGACTGTATACTTAAAAAGAAATCCGTTATTTCACATGTGTTTGACCGTAATCCTTTACTGCAATAAGTACACTGCATGCGTGTAATTTCAAATTACGGTGCAATAAACAATGTTTTTGACAAGAAATCTGTTATTTGAAATGACAGATCTTTTTTCTCGGCTTAAGCAATGTTTATTTTTAAAATTACTTCGCCAATGAACGCATAAGATGGGCCGTTTTTTGAGCCATTTAAGACACCCGCAGTTCGTGCTTTATCAGATATAAAACACTCGAGCTGCGCACTCGTGTTTTATATCTGATAAAGCACCCCTGCTCATGTTTTAAATAGTAGATAGCATAAGATCTACGACGTAGACGTCAGCTAGGACGTCAGGGCTAAGCAGAAGACTGGGACGAGGACGTCGTCCTAAATAAATAAACTTCCACTTAAGATTCGTAGATTTTCCTTTAACAGCAAACTGAAATTGGTCCAGCATATAGAAAGAAGTAAATCGCCGGATAACCTTTTAAGTGTGAAACCCTCCATAATCTTATCAACTTGACAGTTTCCTTATTGTATATTACTTTATTTTCTCAGAAAACAGTTACCAAAGACCTTAAATTAAATTGAAAACCTTAATACGGTTTCTAAAAGGTTCCTAGCCCTACTATTGTAAATATATGTTCTATTGTTATATAATTTTTATTGTAATTTGGGCAAATTAGTAAATAAGAGAACTAATATTGTAAAAATTGTCATCATGGGTATTTTTGATGTAAAATGTAGAAATATTTAAACTTGTCCCCCGGCCTCCCTGCAACCTTAAATTCTTGACGAAAAGCCTAAATTCCATAAAAAAATCGAGTCTTTTAAAACTCGTTTTAGCCTGATATATAAACTTTATACGTTTGACGGTAAACGTTTCAAATATATATATATTTTTATATTGCTTTAGACTACAGCAATATGGCTCATCAAGAATGGCAGACCAAATTCGACGACCAATTCTCTGACCTGGATCACCTGTGGAATTTGGAGATAGTAAGCAATGTAGAGCAGGGAAGCGGATGGCTAAAAATGCAATGTAAAGGAATGGCAAGGTTCGACTGTAGCACATGCAACAATAGATGGACGTCGGTTAACGGTGGAGCAATATTTCGCTATCGTCTTTCTCGTTCCCAAAATGAACGACGTGGTAACGTGAAGCTGTTTCTGGGAGGGCAAAAGTGCAAGAAATGCGACGACGTATTTGAAACTGCTAAGTGGGCGGATTCAGACGTAGAACGTGTGATCACAGAACTGCTGAGTAAAGTGCAGCAAAAGTTCTATGGTAGAATTGATGTTCCCACCACCAGTGCAACCGAGAACAGATATATTCCAGCAGATATGTCTGCCCCTCATCAAAAAAGTCTTTGTCAGTTCTGTACGCTGGGAGTGTGCCAGTATAGTCAACAAAATGATATCGACAGCATCGCAAGTGACTTGGAACACTTTCGATTTTGACGACTACAATAAGGACAACGAGAAAATGCATCGGAGTCAGATTGATTTTTAACATTTCACTCTTTGGGATTTAAACATTCGTTTATTATTAACACATGCACAATGCGAAGGCAATGCATGCATGCTCAAGAAATAATACTACTCACTAATTTCAAATCTATATTAGGGGCTGTTTATATGGTCCCGCGCCTACCCGGGATTCAATGAAGTGTGACGTATTTTGAACAATTGAAATAAGTCTTACTTTATGATCTAACAAAACTGCTTGTTACAAATTGTATGAAATTCCACGTTTTAGACAAAAAAACAACAAATGTTGTTGAATGCTATTAATCGTCTTCTTCCACTACATAACTTCTAGCGCGTTCCTAATTTCGTTTACACAATATTTATAAAGTTATCTAACTTTTGTTTAGAGTTGAAACACGTATTTCAGTTGCTCTAAATACGCCAGACTTCATTGAATCCCGGGTAAGCGGGACCATATACCATATAACTTTAATTTAAAATTAAAGCCAGGATATTTTGTTGTTAAGAAGAGAAATACTGCATGTATTTGCAAAGGCCTGATTCCACGACGGCAAAATTCTTCGCGAGAAATTGTGTCTGCGAAATATGGATGGTTGCACACATGAGCGACTCCACAACCTCGTACGCAGGGTCGACTTGTGGAGAAAAAACCCTGGTAGACGCTGGTCACGTGATCTGCTAAAATCTAGCAGATTTCTAATGAACTATCTTTGATTCATACAAGAAGCAAATTATAAACTAAACTATAAAAATTACCCAAATATCAAATATTTATTGACCTCATCTTGGATTTCTAATTAAAAATCTGCTAGATTTTAGCAGATCACGTGACCAGCGTCTACCAGGATCTTTTCTCCATAAGAGGAAAGACCCTGGGTACGAGGTTGGCGATTCCATTGAATTTTCCCACTTTTTCCTCTTTCGCAGTGAGTACTAACTTCTCTTTTCTACTCACTGGTGAAGCGAATTTTTTTCTCGCAAAGCCTAATTTATCTTTACTGCGCATGTACCCAATTTCATTTCGCGCGAACCCGAGCGCTGATTGGTCGGGAAGCGTGTTACGTTTCTATATGAATTGTAAAGAAACAGCGGAAAATTTGCAGCCTCGCACCTCTTTTAAATTTCAGTGAAAATATAAAACAATATAAATACGGACATTTTGCGTTGTCTCATAATAATATTGTCCGCATGACAGAGATTGAATGTACATATCTTTGCCTACTAATTCGACAAACACCTTAAAAATTTGAGAATCTATATATAGTTTATTTTTGGCACGGATATTGTAATTATTTGTATAGCGAAGGAGGAACGCCACAAAACCTGCTTCGAGAAGCAAATTCTCCCACTGAGCTTTAGAAATTGGTCGCGCTTCAACTCTTGTTGATAATTGCATGGCAAACGGTATACAAACAACATATTGTCATTCGCCTTATATACTAGATGTCAAAATTTCCGTGACCTTATACTGTACTGAAGTCTATATTTGAGTACAAATTAAAGAACTGTGATTACTGGGTCAACCTATACTACAGCTTGCTGATCTGTACAGCTCATTATCAGAAACTTGAAACTATATTGTGTTTACTTGGTTTTCTGATGTTAGATAATTGTCTATCAGCCTGGTAAGTGCTTACCCATTGTTTATTGTAAATCTCCAACCAAATTTGTAATATAGACTGTATGAATAGGGTTGACTAGAATTTTGATATATTGATAAAATGTTTAGGTATTTCTCAAGATTATTTCGTATATCGAAGGCACGGAAAGTTGAACTATATCATCACAGCTCACTATATAACGTATTGTTTCTGTGAAATATATCTGCTTTGAATTCTCTATACTATAAACCCTTCAACAAAATTATCTTCTTAACAGAGGACAGAATAGAAGGATTTAAGGATTTAGTTTAAAAACGACTGACACTGGATGTTAAATTTATTGTATTCTGGTGCACTTTCGTTTTGCAAAACAATGTACTGTATGCAAAACAATGTACTGTATGCCAAACAGACTCGCTCCACTCACCCACACGTCCCCGAATTTGAGAGGAATAAATTCATGAAGTTCTTTCAATAATCTCCCCCAGCTCTACCGTCACAACAAATAAACCAATCACTTATACAAGTGAATCATATTAATAAAATGACTAAATCAAATGTAGAAATACAGAACATCTTTTATTTTAACTAAATCCTGAGTTAACTGCGCATGTTTGAGTAAGTTTCTAGTTATCATGTCAGATAATTTCGTGTAAAAGCACTCTTTCTTCTGCTAAAATATCACCACGTCTTTAGTTAAAACATGCACGGTAAATTTTCAGCAACAATAATGCTCAAATAAACGAGGCAATTATTATTCTGCACCAATTAAACAGCCTTAATTTGGACATTCCATAGTTAATTAACAAAATTGGTATAGCCAGTAGGTCGATGGTTTATCATAAAAAATGACGAACACCAATCTTATAAATTCGGACATTTTGTTCCATGCGCATTGTTGTCTGCAGACTGGTGAAAAAAGGAAAACCACAAATCCTGGAACTGAACAGATTGGAATAAAAATCGAATTCTCTTTTATACCAAAATGCATCCAACTGAGTTTTGGAAATTGGTCGCGCTTCAAAGCTTGTTAACACAATTATTTGACACTATATAGATACAACGTAACATATTTTCATTCGCCTTGCATGCATGCATATGTCCACATTTTCGTGTCTTCATGCAAAACTTTATATTTCAGCATAAATTAAAGCACTGCGATTGCTGTGGTCAACCAATCACTATACTTGGTGATCTGTATATACAGTTCATTGTCAGAAATAAGAAGAAGAAATAACTTGCCTGCTCAGCCGTCACTTTCCGATTTTAGACTGATAATTGTTTATCAGCCTGGTAAGTGCTTACTAGTTATTATATTCACTGTAAATCTCTATATGACGAAACCTCTAATATAGACTGAATGGGGTTAACTGGAATTTCGATATGTTGATGCAATGGATGACTTGCGCCTTAGAAAAAATTTTAATCTGGGGATAACAAAGGATATTTTCGGAAAGAAGTTATCAAAATTAGAAAAACTGCAAAGTTTGGTTGCGAAATATTATAATAATAATAACATTTAATATCCATCTTTGGTTAAAAAAGTACAATGAATTTACAAGAAGTGCTAAGGTTAAAATGATAAGAAGAAATTTTACTATTATTTACATCAATGTTGCTAAAAATGTTTATACTAGTTATATATTCTATAAAATTAATTTAGAACTGTTTTAAAAGGGATATATAGCTCTAGGTATAAAGGATTGCCGGTGTCTTTTAGTATACGATACAACATATGGTAGATTACTTGTTGTTCTTAGATCGTGTTCATGGGTAAAAGGTTGGGGGATAAGTTTATTACATGGGTCGGATCACTTAGAATTCTTTGGTATTCCTTAACAGTTAGGTGTGCCCTTCTTTGTTCTAGCGTTTCAAAGTTGCACCGAGATGTGCCGAGGATTTTGATGCATCTGTTTTGAATGCTCTCTATTTCATCAATGAGATATTGTGGTAAACCACCCCATATCGGAGCTGCATATTCTAAAACAGGTATAATCTTGGATTCATAACATGTAATACCGACCTCAGGAGGAAGATTCGCCCTGCGCCATTCTCTCAGACTAAACATTCGTTTATTTGCTTTCCTTACAATGTTCTTAACATGACAGTTCCATTTCAAATTGTTTTGATGCCAGACACCCAACAGTTTATGAGAATTTACTCTTTCCACTACCTCGTTTCCAATGACCAATGGTTCTGGTGCCGGTATTGCTGTGTTAAAACATATCCACATATCTTTTGTTTTCTTTGAATTTATCGTCATTTTGTTCCTATTAGACCATTCTTGTACTGCTTCAAGGGCCTCCTGCATATGGCTGGATGAACCTTGTGACACCACTTCGTCCTGTGTACAATCATCCGCGTATTTGCATATGTTTATGGATAATCCATCTGGGATTGAGTTCTCAATATCGTTAATGTGAATATTAAAAAGAGCGGGGGACATCACAGAACCTTGTGGGACTCCTGCAGGACAAGGTTTGACCGATGATAGGGTCCCTGCTAGTTTGACCTGTTGTCTTCTATCTTCCAGAAAACTACGCGTCCATAGCCAAAAGGCTTTGGTTAGATTCATTTCTGCGAGCTTATACGAAGTAGAATTCCGTGGTCAACAAGGTCAAACGCTTTGCGAAAATCTATGAATAGTGCATGAACTCCATTTTTGGCGCCATGAGTATTGTCGGTCACATTAAACCAGTTCTGCGAGATGTTGGTGAGTGCGGACACGGTTGATCGTTTGCTTGTAAAGGCACGCTGATTATCATTTATACGTGAACTGGGAAGGTTCAGTTTGAGCTGCAGCTTTTCCAGCACTTTAGCCATTTGGGGAAGAATGGATATCTGGCGAAAGTCATTCTCGATATGTCTTGGTGGATTGACCTTCGGAACTGGGATAACTAAGGCGTGTTTATACGCAGTTGGATATTCACATTCTTTTATACTGGCGCAAAAAATATTGTAAAATACGGAAAATATAGCCCTGCGAAGTTGGCAAATTTGTATACATTTCTATTTAGTCTAAAGCGCAAGTCGTCCATTGTTAAGTATTACTCAAGATTATCGTACCAAAGGTGGAAAATTCAAGTGGAAATATTTTAGATATATAGTTAAGGTGGCTCGATATAGTTATCACAAAAACCCTGCTCAAGAATCGCGAACTCAAAACCGGGTGACCAGTTTACGCGCAGGTCATGGAAACTGATTAACAAAATGAAAGAAGTTCCAAAATGACCTGACGTGAGCGGTTGCTCGCGCCATATCTCGCCATTGCGCGTGTTCTATAGCGTTTTATGTCAATTGCTGACGTCATTAGAATTTTCCATTTTAGAAAAACAATGCGCTATATCTCTTTATTTTGTCTGGTGACCTATGTTCAAATTTTGCATGCTGTATTGTACCGCTAAAAACTTTCATTATACAAAAAATAAAAAAATTCTGTAATGCCTAAAAATTTTACCGAAGAATATGACATTTTCGCATTTTCCAAAAAAATGGCAACACAGAATTTTTTTATATTTTGCTAATTGTTAGCTTTTCGTCCAAGTAAAATAATGCACGAAAAAAAATTGGGGGTCACAATGCTTTTTTCCAACTATACGAGACGATAGGCCATTTTGGAGTAAATTTCGTACACGTATGTCGTCATAGCAACGAACTATCTGTTACTAAAAGTAATAATTTGAAAGTTGAGATATCAAAATATATAAAAAAAAAACCAATATCTGCTGAATAAATCCTAAAAATGCGTAGTTTGAACATGTCAAATTGTTGAACACCTAAATTTTTGAAAACTGTATCGAGCCACCTTAAAGCCTGTGATGTCGTAACTGTATAATTGCTGTATCGCATTCTCCTATATCGTACTGTTTCTGTAAAGTATATGTGTTTTGAGTTAACTTATATACTATTACTAAAAACCTATATATGTCAACGAAGAGTGGTTCTTCTTAAACAGAGAATGGAGTAGAGAAAGTTGTTTAAAAAGACTGACATTGCTATTGGATTTAAATTTAATTATCGATCGTATTCTGGTGTACTTTCGTTTTGCAAAACAATGCATCGTATAATAGGTTTTGTTTGTGGAAACACCACGTAAATTTATTACTGCAAAGCTTTCGATCCGTAAGCCCGGATCTTCATCAGTGCTAATAATATGTGACTTGAAGCAGGTATAAAGGTATACCATTCCAGCGAAAACAAATTGTTTCGAGCTCTTTGCACACATAAGGACAATGTAAATGAATCTCAGAAACCTGGTGTGTACCGCATTCCTTGTGAATGTGGTCTGGTTTACATTGGTGAAACTGGTCGAAATCTCTCAGTACGTCTTAAGGAACACAAGACGAATTGCGAGAAAGCCGAGCAAGATAAATCTGCTGTGGCTAAACATACT